AATACGAGAAACTGGAAAAACGTCCTTGATTTCATAGCAACAACTGAAAACATCAGTGTTATCAACATTCTTCTCCTGCTAAATCCAAAACACAGCAGCTACTGAGAGGAAAATTAACTCTATCCCAGCCAAAGCCAGGACAAAGGAACACCCTGCTAGGATGATATTTTAACCCATATAGGATTCGTTCATCACAGCTAACGTTCACTAAAGCAGCACTCCACCAGCTGCACAAAACCCAAGGGAGACTAAGGAGAGTGATAATCACTGAAAAACCCTGCTGACGACTCCTCACCTGGCTTCGTGCTGCCTCTTGAAGATTTCATGTGGCTGTTGTAGAAGTGCAACCTCACTGCCTGTCTTGTATATTGATGCAGGAGAGAAAGACAAACTCCTGTAGACACCAGTGTGGGAATATTAAAACTGAGGAGGATAAAAAGGTTCAGCTTTCAAAACCAAAAGCAGGTACTCCTTGAACCACTGTGGCTTGTCAGAAAACAGGAAAAGAACTACCTACATTCAACATCAATACATCTATTGGTATTACTAGAACAGGAGTCAAAAACTCTAATTTTCTGTTTGAAAGGAAGTTTGAAAGCCAGAGAGTTACACCAGAGCCAAACTGGTCTTGCTGTATTTAAGGGAGGGAGGAATAAAATACACGAAAGAAAAATGCCATGTTGAATAACACGGAAATACTCCATAATAGGTGAAATCATGAAGTCCTCATATATTTTAAACTCATTACTTATTCAAAAAATGACTGTTCATGTCAAAAGGAAGTTGGTGAAGGAAAGAAGCGAAGATTTGGCCCTAAGTTAATTTCATGATCCCCTTGCTTTGGACTGATAAGCATCAAATTAACTTTGTGTAATCAAGAGGTTAGAAAACATTATAGAGATGGATGATTTCTGCTGATTATGGTAAAAAAAAAGTATTTATGACATTCAGACAACACACTACTGCATTTCTCCTAAAAATATTAGTTTTACAATATTTCAAACATTTCATGCACAAAAGTAGAAAGACTTGAGAAGCCTTTTCTTTCTCTCCTCTATCCAGACCCCTGTCTCTCCTACCGCCCACTTCAGTGCTTCACCACTTCCATTCAGAAAACAGCAGGAGGGAGAATCAAACAGAAAATCATGTTGTTCTGCTTTCTCTTTTATCGTAGTCAACACTTGACTCAAGCAATCAGGAAGCAATTAAAAGCTTCTGTTTCAACTCCCCATCCTATTCAAATTCTTGCTCTCATTTTGTTTGTCTGAAACTTTGTTCTTTTAAAAGCTTGCCAGTGTGTGTGAACGTGTGTGTGTACTTGCAGACATATGTATATCCTTGTTCTTTCAGTCAAGTGATATTACAAAATGTCTTTCCATTTCTAACAGGGTTCAGTCATCTTTGTAATAAACATGTCCTTTAACAAAATTCGCAACCTTAATGCTTTTGAAAATCTCTAATGATTTCTAATTCACTGACATTTTCCCTGAGCCCCTCATCAATTTAACTATTCAAATTGCTAACACTGTTAATAATTCCTCTGTCTCCAGCAGACCCACTGCAGACCTTGAAATCCCTCTGCTGCCTCTGCAGACAAGAACACATCTGGTTGCGCATCCATACCATGCTGGATCAGACTATTTATTAGCCTGGCAGCAGAGTCTCATCACCATGCCATATGATGATTAACGGCTTCATTTTCACCACTGCTATCCAGAAGGGCCTCTCACAGGGCCATTTCCTCCCCTCACTTCTATCTTACAGTGGTGTAATTCCACTTGTTTCAGCACATGGATAACAGCATGAGCACAAGGGTCTGTATTTCTAAGGGTTTGTGGGGAAGATTTTGAGAAACATTTGGAGCTGCATGCCAAATTGCCTTCCATGCCTTTGAAAAAGTGCAGATGTTTGTACTTTGGGGGAGCTTTGAAGGGGAAGCAGATGCAGGCTGACCTGTCTTCAGATAAAAGCCCAAATATTCAAAATGCCCCAATGCGTGCTCTGCTGGGACTCTAGGGCTGAAGATACTGAAACAAGCTAGGCATGACCTTGCTGCACATCAGCTGAACTGTGCTAATTGCTCTTACCCTGTGGCATATGAAAAAGCATTCAGAAACGGCTCATCTGTCAGAGGCAGCTCAGGCCTTGGAGTGTTTTGCATTCCATCTTTCTAGACAAAGCTCCCATGTAGAGGCATTTTGTTAAGTGGCTGACCTCAAAATTTCCTGGACAGAAGTGCTCCTATCTATGGTGGTACACATGCAGCTAGCAAGTGGTATGTGACAGTTTCCTAAGAGACCTTCCTGCTTGTACATGCAGAACAGAGATAAACTGCCTCTACTGATGACGCCACAGCCAATGAAAACAGCCAAACAAACTCAGACATGGACTGGATGGTGTGCAGCAGATAGCCAGGAGAGTGGTTGTAAAGTAGCAGTGCTTCAGGGGAGAATCCCCTCAGAAGTGCAGCCCAGTAATTAGAGCATGAGGAACTTGGTAAAGATTTCTAGAGTCTATGTCTTAACCACAAACTTCCTGTTAACCAAGTTACTTAAACCTTCTGAGTCTTGGTTTCCTTGTTTGTGAATCTGTAGTTCAGATACCCATCCTGGGGTGACATAATTAGGTTATGTTTACAAAATGCTTTGTGATACTGCAAGGGATGTTACTGACTACATGCAAGGAGTGTTTTTGTATAGGACAGCATACACCAGTTTTTCAGTTTGTCTTGATAGCTGCATGTTCTGTAAAACTGGGGTAATAAAAATTACTGAGCAGCTTGGATGAGTGGTCTCAACGTGTCTGGAGTCATGGATAACTGTGAAAAGTTGTCCATAGAAAACAGAAGTCTGCCTTTCTGAATAGTGTTTGCTCCTTGAAAAACAATTTTGCTCTTGTGAAAAGCAAGCTTAGAAAAAATCTAGGAAATAACGGCAGAATTAAGTTTCACATCTCCACCCAAGCAGCTTTCTGAGGAAGGTAAAAAACATTATTTTTTGTAGCCTGGATGACTTCCTATATGGACTCCAAAGTTCATAATGATGACCTAAAGTTCCTACACAGAACTAAATTAATCCATTCCCATGCAACACTTCTGAATCATATTATATAGGAGTAATTGGAGAACAATTTGGTCCTCAATCAGATATTTTATGAAATTATACAGACACAGGTTATGAAATTCAGGCCTAGATCAAAATCTAATAAAGTCACCAAGGAAAAAAAGTAAGCAGCAACACCTTCAACATCTGATAAGCAGGGCTCCGAGCTGTTAAGGAACTGCTAGTTGTGGGATAAAGAGTGTCACTGAGCTATTCTGGTGTATTTATCCTCTTTGCAAGGCCAGCCCTATCAATGGGACTAGCAAGTGCTGCAGAACATTAGGGACAGCTAATTGCCCAGTAAAGATGTGTGGATCTCCCACATGGGAGATCTGCTGCTTTGCCTGGGGCAACAGAACTAGTACAGCTGCCAGCCCTGCTTCTCTGCATCTTTCAGTCTCAGACGTTGCTGACACTCTCTTGCTGAGATGATCTGTTTCCCCATATCTATTAATTTGTAATTAAAAATAGCTCCTGCATGCAAAAAGACTGAGTGAAGAGGGAGGCATTCTTTTGTTCCATCGTCTCTGGAGATTCCCGACAGCCACAGTGCCTCTTCAAACAAGGAGTAGGGACGTAATCATGCCACTGTACTCGGCACTGGTGAGGCTGAACCTGGAGTACTGTGCTCAGTTTTGGGCCCCTCACTACAAGAAGGACATTGAGTTGCTGGAGAGTGTCCAGAGAAGGGCAACGAGGCTGGTGAGGGGTCTAGCGAACAAGTCTTCTGAGGAACAACTGGGGGAGCTGGGGCTGTTTATTCTGGAGGAGGCTAAGGGTAGACCATATTGCTCTCTATGACTATCTGAAAGGAGATTGTAGTGAGGGAGGTGTTGGTCTCTTCTCCCAAGAACTAGCGATTGGATGAGAGACAATGGCCTCAAGTTGCATCAGAGGAGGTTTAGATTAGATGCGGTCAGACATTGGAACAGGCTGCCCAGGGAGGGGGTTGAGTCCCTATCCCTGGAGGAGTTAAAAAAACGTGTAGATATGGCACTTTGGGATACGGTTGAGTAGGCATGGTGGTGTTGGGTTGATGGTTGGACTTGATGATCTTACAGGTTTTTTCCAACCTATGATTCTATGATTCTGTGTTTGAACACTAGTTAGAAACTTATCCTTACAATACAAGGAAGCAGTCAACAGAGAAGATGAACATGTGTTAGAAAACATAAGATCAGGGTTTAAAGCACTTGATGTTGCCATTGCATTAGCACAAAATCTTGATTCGTGTCCCTTACTCTGCCAGCAGAAAGGAGAAAAAAAATAGGCACATTCCCTTCAATCCATGTTGGCCACACTCAAGACTGTTTCTCTAAAGACATGAAGGAATAGAATCACAGAGTCATTTAGGTTGGAAAAAGACCCTTAAGATCGTTGAGTCAAACAATAAACCTAACACTGCTAAGTACACCACTAAAACATATCCCTATGCGCCACGTCTACCTATCTTTTAAACACCTACAGGGATCGTCACTCAACCACTTCCCTGGGTAGCCTGTTCGAGTGCTTGATAATCCTTTCAGTGATGAAATTTTTCCTAATATCCAATATAAACCTCCCTTGATGCAATCTGATGTTGTTTCCTCTTGTCCTATCACTTGTTGCTTGGGAGAAGAGCCTGACACGTACCTTGCTACAACCTCCATTCAGGTAGTTGTAGAGAGTGATAAGGTCCCCCCTCAGCCTCCTTTTCTCCAAACTAAACAGACCCAGCTCCTTCAGCCGCTCCTCATAAGACTTGTGCTCTAGACCCCTCACCAGCTTTGTTGCTCTGCTTTGGACATGCTCCAGCAACTCAATGTCTTTCTTGTAGTGATGGGCCCAAAACTGAACACAGTACTCCAGGTGCGGCCTCACCAGTGCCGCGTACAGGGGGACAATTTCTTCCCAACTCACACAGGCCACACTATTCCTGATACAAGCCAGGATGCCGTTTGCCTTCTTTGCCACCTGGGCACACTGCTGGCTCATGTTCAGCTGTCTGTCATCCAGCACCCCAAGGTCCCTTTCCACCAGGCCGCTTTCCAGACACTCCTCCCCAAGCCTGTAGCATTGCCTGGGGTTGTTGCGACCCATATGCAGGACCCGGCAATTGGCCTTGTTGAGCCTCATACAGTTGACCTCGGCCCATCAATCCAGTCTGTCCAGATCCCTCTGCAGCGCCTTCCTACCCTCAAGCAGATCAATACTCCCACCCAGCTTGGTGTCATCTGCAAACTTACTGAGGGTACTGCACCCTGGGGAACATCACTTGTGACTGGAAGCCATCTGGATTTAACTCCATTAATGCCACAACTCTTTGGGCCAGCCATCCAGACAGTTTTTTACCCAGTGAAGAGTAAGCCCATCCAAGCCATGAGCAATGAGTTTCTCCAGGAGGATGCTGTGGGAAACGGTGTCAAAGGCTTTACTAAAGTCCAGGTAAACAACATCCACAGCCTTTCCCTCATCCATTAAACAGGTCACCTTGTCATAGAAGCTTAGTCAAGCAGGATCTGCCTTTCATAAATCCATGTTGACTGGGCCTGATCACCTGGTTGTCCGGTACATGCTGTGTGATGGTGCTCACGATGATCTGCTCCATAACCTTCCCCAGGACCAAGGTCAGTCTGACAGGCCTGTAGATCCCCGGATCCTCCTCCCAGCCCTTCTTGTAGATGGGCGTCACATTTGTTAACCTCCAGTCAACTGGTACCTCCCCTGTTAGCCAGGACTGCTGACAAATGATTGAAAGTGGTTTGGTGAGCACTTCTGCCAGCTCCCTCAGTACCCTTGGGTGGATCCCATCTGGCCCCATAGACTTGTGTATGTTTAAGTGGTGTAGCAGGTTACCAACCATTTCCCCTTGGGTTATGGGGGCTTCATTCTGCTCCCTGTCCCTGTCTTCCAGCTCAGGGGGCCGAGTACTCTGAGAAAAATTGCTGCTACTGCTAAAGAGTGAGGAAAAGAGGGCATTAAGTACCTCAGCCTTTTCCTCATCCTTGGCTCACTCACCAGCTGTGTCAGGAAGTTATCTTCCACACACTTCAGGAACCTCCTAGACTGTTTCATCTCCGCTGTATTGTATTTCCAGCAGACATCTGGTTAAGCTGAAGCCCCCCACAAGAAAAAGGGCTAGCAATCATGAGACTTCTCCCAACTGCTTATAGAATATTTCATCTGTCTCTTCATCCTGGTTGGGTGGTGTATAACAGACTCCCACCATGGTATCTGCCTTGTTGGCCTTCCCCCTGATTCTTTCCCATAAACACTTGACACTTTCATCACCATCATGAAGCTCCAGACAGTCAAAACTCTCCCTATCATACAGGACTACCTCACTGCCTCTCCTGCCTTGCCTATCCCTTCTGAAGAATTTATAGCTGTCTATTGCAGCACTCCAGTTGTGTGAGTCATCCCACCATGTTTCTGTGATTGCAATTACATCCTAGTTTTACAGCTGCACAATGGCTTCCAGCTCTTTCTGTTTGTTGCCTATGCTGTGTGCATTGGTGTAGATGCACTTCATTTGTACTATTGATCTTGCCACCTTTTTTGGAGGAGAAGGACTAATTCCTATCCTTACCTACTCAGCTCCCTTAGTACCTGCACCAAGAAGTTATCTTTAATGTGCTTCACGAATTTCCTGGACCTGTTTGTGTCCGCTACATGATATTCCCAGTTGATGCCTAGGAAGTTAAAATTACCCATCAGGACAAGGGCAGTTGTTCTAGAGATACCCCTTAACTCCTTGTATGAGTAATTAATTTGTGGTGTTGTTGTGGATGGGTAGCCGATAGCAGACTCCCACAACAACATCTGCTTTATTTGCTTTCCTCTTCATCCTTACCGAGAGGCTCTCAACCACGCTGTCATCAACTGCAAGTGCCATACTATTCCTCAACTCTTACACACAGCGCCACTTCCCCACCTCACTTGTCCTGCCTATTCCTCCTGAGGAGCCGGTAAGTGCCCATCATGGCACACCAGTCACAGGACACATCCCACCAGGTTTCGCTTAAGCCAATGACGTCATAGCTCTGGGACTGGGCTAAATCTTCTAGTTCTCTTGTTCACTCGTCATGCTGTGTGCAGTAGTACAGGGACATTTCAAATGTGCTCCAGTGTACTCAGCGCATCGTGGAGCAGGCTGAAGGACCTTACTAGCACATCGTCCCTCAAACACTGGCATGCTGCCCCCAGGCTAATCTCTGGGGAGTCTGGTTTTATCCCTTTCCCCCTTCAAATCTAGTTAAAACCTCTTGCAATAAGCCCTGCCAACTCCTGCACAAAGATCCTTTTCCCCCTTTGAGACAAGTGTACCCTGTCTATTGACTGCAGGCCTCATGTTGTGTAGACCAACTCATGATCAAAAAACCCAAAATTCTGCTGATGACACCAGTCACGGAGCCAGGTATTGATCTGCTGGGTCTTCCTGTTTCTTCCCTCATCATTCCCTGCAACTGGAAGGAAAGAGGAGAACACTACTTGTGCTCCTCCTCCCTCCACCAGTCGTCCCAAGGTCCTGAAGTCTCTCTCCATCACCCCTGGACTTCTTATTGCAACTTCATCAATGGCTACATGAAAAATCAATAACGGATAATAATCCAACGGTTGTACCAGGATAGGAAGTTTTCTTGCCACATCTTTCACCCAGGCCCCAGGGAGGCAGCAGACATCCCTGAGAAGTGGGACTGGCTGGCAAATTGGACCACCTGTTCCCCTCAGAAGAGAGTCTCCTATGACAATAACTCATCATTTTTCCTTATGGAAGTGGTTTTGATGCAGGGCCTAGGCCGACTTGACCTTGGGTGACACCTCCAACTAGATGAACCATTGTCCTTGTCATAGTTCGGTTCCACTTGCGGAGCCTTGTACCTGTTATGCAAGGGCACCTGGGAATGTGGTGTAGTCACAGAGGAGATGCATCTGCTGTGCCAGGCAGGAACTTGTCGCAGTTGCCCGCTATGCCTTAAGCCACCATGTAAATATATAAGGAGTATGTACTTCTCCCTATTAAGATCAAAAAGGCAGGGAATGGAAGGATCAGGCAAAGAAGGCTTTGCTTCCAGTGGGTGTAAGCTACTCCACGAAAGGGGCAAAGCAGCTTACTCCTCTAGGAAACAAAGAGGAAATTGTGTGGTGTTCAGAAATCAGGCCATGATACATAAAGGCATTTAGGTGATTGAGCTGAGAGGGTTGCCCCAGTGCCTTTAATGATCTTAGCATATATATACATAAAAGCATTAGGAAAGGCTGAGGGAACTGGGTTTTTTAGTCTTAGGAAGAGAATGCAAACAGGAGATCTTATGGCTATATGCAACAACTTCATGGGAGGGCATAAAGAAGAAATGCCCCCCATTCTCAAACTGGGGGGCAACCACCCTGTTGTGGGGTGGTGAAAGGAGATGGGGACGTTAGGTTACTGACTCCTAGCCACTCAAGGTTTATCTGAAAGAAGGCTGCACCTCTGTCTTTCTTTTTCTGACAGCCATTCCTTGGAGACGCAGCAGAAGTACTCATTAATCTTCCTCCATTTGATATCTATATTTCTGGAGAATTTTAAATTGACAAGTGGAGCCTTTTGACCAGTTCACTTTCCCTTGCAGGGTATTTTCTCAATTCCTTTTTACCTTTGAGAACTGGTGCACTCAAGATATTCCTAACGTCTGCTTCACACTACATTCAGCTCAACTGATTCGGCATTTCAGGCTTCACAGCTCCTTGCCCATAAACTGACTCAGGAGCCCAGACCTTGAAACACAGTCCTCAATATTATGACTGCAAGGAGGAATTACCTATGACATTTTTATTCTGTCTCTGGTTTATCGCTGGACCAGCTTAGTTTCTTGTCCTCATTTTCTTCATACCCCTTAAAATAACCTTGTCTTTCTGTCTGTAAAAAAAGGACTAATAAGAGCAACTTTAAAAAGTGGACTCTGCCTTGCCATTAAAAATCAGAAGGGTCCTTTTCATGATTAAGCATCCTGAGCTATAAACATGCTGCTACCTGCACATGCCAGACAAATAACTAACAAATACAGTATCAGATTCTGTAGGATCTGTCTCCCTTAGAGACCACTTTGATGATGTGAAACGTCGTTGTGTGACAAAGGGGACTTTGCAGTTTAACAAGCCCAGTCTACACAGGAAACTAAAGTAATTCTAAATTAACATAACAAATTAGCAGTCTTAGATAACATAATTGCTATGGAGAACTTCCCAGTTTTAGTTAGCATTCTGTATTAACTACTATGTCATTATTAAGGCACCATACTCAGCACCAGCAACTTAATTATCTTTTGTATTGCTCCGGTCTCAAGCTTGAATGACGATCATTAATAAAACACAATTATTTACAATGCAATTGTGGAATTTTAATTAAACTGAAAATGCATTTCGTTTGCTTTTTGCCACAGTGTTAATTTTTTAAACTAAGGTTAGATCTTTTCATCAAGCTTTTTTTTTTTTTATCCCTAATTGCAAGTTAGATAGACTGATCTCTTAGCATCTTAAGAAAACATTGCGACTGTTGGTGACAAATGGGTCTTGCTGTAACAAAACAGCCTCATTGCTCTGGAGTTATGTAATCCCAGTGCTAGTAAACAATACCTTGATATGTTATTTCCATGATTCTTAAGTAACCTCAGTGTATGTAAGTCCCATTTAATTTTCTTTTAGAATTAGTATTTGCAAGGGTCAGTTTGTTATTACATACATTACAACAATATTTAGAAGGTCCTGTTGAGACCAAAGAATTTACAGACCAACAAGACCAAAAGTGAAAGGGGAAGTGTTGGCTTACAGAAGTAAAATGGTCTGCTCATTGTCACCTAATATGTCACTGTCAGAGCCAGGAATAGAGTCAGGGTCTCCCAGCTCTTATTTCTGTGCTCTGCCTGATAGATCACATTGCTCCTTATGTTAGCAAATTTAGAAATGCCAAATGCATAGCGGCAGGGGCTTAGTCCGTATTTTCATAACAGGGTTCCTGGCCTTAGTAATATTAAAAGATTTTTTATGCATTTGTGTAACTCCTCTGGCTTCAGAGGATTTCTTTCTGTTTCATGTTAGTATAAGATGGATCAGGCCTGGGATTAATAACTTTCCTCAGTGTGCCTGAGCAGTGTAAG